CAGGTTGGTCGCAGACCCAGGTTTTGTGCTAGGTCTCCTGGTGCCTTTGGGGAGAGGGATGGACTTTCGATTACTTCTATGCCCTTTTTGACTGTGCAAATGTTGGTAATAGAGATTTGTGCAGAAAATTTTCCAGATTTTGGAAATTTTTGATGTAAGATCACATATAATATTTACATATAATTTTAAATCTCTGGAATTCTTCTTGTGTCTTTTGTTTGTCTCTCGTTAAGAATTGTTATAAGCTTTGTCTATTTGATTTTTTTTTAAACCTGTTTTGTTGATTCACTTTTTTTTTTTTTTAAAGATTTTATTTATTTATTTGTCAGAGAGAGAGAGAGAGAGAGAGAGAGTGAGAGTGAGCACAAGCAGATAGAGTGGCAGGCAGAGGCAGAGGGAGAAGCAGGCTCCCTGCTGAGCAAGGAGCCCGATGTGGGACTCGATCCCAGGACGCTGGGATCATGACCTGAGCCGAAGGCAGCGGCTTAACCCACTGAGCCACCCAGGCGTCCCAATTGTTGATTCACTTTTTAAAGTAAATCTACTTCACTCATTTCCACTCAAATCTTTGCTGATTCTTTTCTTCTCCTTCCTCTTTCGAGGGTTTCTAATTCCTGTGTTTTCTGTTGCTACCTTCTTGGTTTTCTAGCATTTTGTTGGGTTAATCAGATTTTCTTTGCTTCATTTTTTTTCTTTCATGGTTTGTCAGTTTTGTGTCCTCTTTCTATCCTTGCTACTATTTATCTTTGAACTGAAAGGTATATCTTAATCGTGTATTTTTCTACTGTACCTGAAGTTGCAAAGCACCTGTGTCCTTTCCATAAACAAGACAAAATCCCCAACAACTTCTGGTTCCTCCTGTCCCACTTGCAGCTCTCTTCCATACTGAGATCACTGTGGATTTTAGAGCTAAGCTGTTATTAAATCGTATTACTCTTTCTTTGCTCATAACAGCTGCTTATATTTGATATATTCCTTCTGCATCCTTCATTTATTTTGCTGGAGTACATCCTGCAGTGATTCTTTCAGAAAAGGTGACTGGCAAGCTTTCTGAGTTCTTGTACATCTGAAAATGTCTTTTTCTTGCCTTTGCCTTTGAAGGAGAGTTTGCCTGGGCGTGGAGTTCTGGGTGCTCAATATTTCCCCTTGGAAATTTGAAACCATTGTGTTTCTTGATGAATCTGGCACTGCTGATTTAAGTTTATCTTGGGTAATCTGTGTCACTCTCTTTTCTATAGCATTTGGTATTGTTGTTTCCATCCTGGGGGTTCTGACATTTTAGCATGATATGTCTCTTTGTGTTCTTCTGGCTTAGCACTCAGTGGGCTCTTTTGGATTAAGAAATCATGTCTTTCTCCAACTCTCTTTATACTTTCTTCAAGTACGTACTTCCCTTGGCTCTCTTCGATCCCCCATTCCAGAGCTACTAATAGACATATGTTGGCAAATGGTCTGTCCTTTGGGTCTCTCACCTTCTCCCCCTCCCCCATTTCCCACCTCCTTTTCCCCCTGCAGTGCATCCTTGGAAAGTTCATGGCTCAGATTTCCGGCTCATCCCGTCACTCTAGCTGTGTCCATTCTGATTTTTCAGCCCATCTGTTGCACTTTTTGGTTTTTACAGTCATACGTTTCATTTCCAAGAGATCTCATTTTTTTCCATTTCATAATATTTTTTTTTCCACAAAGGCACGACTGTCTTATCTCTTTGAGGACATCAGTAATGTTTTAAAAAACTGTCTTCATCAGTTTGGTTTATTGTCTTTTCCTGAGGTGTGATTTATTTTCTGTTGAGTTGGTGCCTTTCTTTCATGGTACTGGCCTTTTCTTTTCTCGAATACTTTGAAATTCTTGGTATTTGGGGATTTCCACTGGCTCATTTCTGCTTTACTATTTATTGCTGCTTTGTCTCTTGGAGGGTTGGTATAGGTGAAGGGTAGAGAAGAAGTGTGCAAGAATTTAGTTGTATAGGGGCGCCTGGGTGGCTCGGTTGCTTGAGCCTCTAATTCTTGATTTTGGCTCAGGTCAGGATCTCAGGGTCCTAGGATCGAGCCCTGGGTTGGGCTCCATGCTCAGCAGGGGGTCTGCTTCTCTGCCTTTCTATCCCTCTGCCTCTGTCCCTCCTCCTGCTCTACCTCTCTCTCTTTCAAGTAAATAAATCTTTTTTTTTTTTAAGATTTTATTTATTTTTTTGGCAGACAGAGATCACAAGTAGACAGAGAGGCAGGCAGAGAGAGAGAGAGAGGAGGAAGCAGGCTCCCTGGTAAGCAGAGAGCCTGATGCGGGGCTCGATCCCAGGACCCTGGGATCATGACCTGAGCCGAAGGCAGAGGCCTCAACCCACTGAGCCACCCAGGCGCCCCTCAAGTAAATAAATCTTAAAGAAAAAAAAAAAAGAATTCAGTTGTATAAACTTTAAAAAAAAAAAAATTAAGCAGAGAGAGAGAGCATGAGAAGGGGGAGGGTCAGAGGGAGAAGCAGATTCCCTGCCAAACAGGGAGCCTGATGTGGGACTCGATCCCGGGACTCTAGGATCATGACCTGAGCTGAAGGCAGTCGCTAACCAGCTGAGCCACCCAGGCACCCGAATTCAGTTGTATAAACTTGAGAGGGTCCCAGTTTCTCCTGGGGGTCATCAGATTTTGGGGCACCCTCTACGACCATACCTGCCTCAGGCGGGTGAGTCTAATGCCTGATTCTTGACACCAGCAGGGGTAGGGATCTGGGTTCTTGTACTATGGTCCTCTGACAGTCACCTCTGGGTCCCTCCCCTATCCCATCAGCCACATCATCAGCTGTTCCCGATTTGCACCCACATTTACTGCCAATCTGGAATCTTCCCTATGTTTCCCGTTGGGCTCTCCCCTTTCAACTCAGTTTCACCTACTTCCAATCTAACGAGCGTTCCTCAAACTTTCTGGCCCCCCGCTGCTTCTCTGTTTTCCAATGCTGTTAGGGACTTTTATGTTTCTTTATTTAAATTTCTGCTTTATTGAGTTAAGAGTGACAAACTGGAAAAGTGTATATTTAGGTTGTACAATATGCTTTTTTACCCCCAAAGGTATACAATGTGATGACTTATTATATATGGACATTGTGAAATGATTAGTACAGATTATTAAAACATTCATCACTTCACGTAGTTACCACTGTTTGTTTTGTGGTGAGAACACTTAAGATCTACTCTCTTAGCACATTTCAAGAATGCAATGTGGAATTATTAACTCTAATCACCACATGATTATGTGTGTAATACACAGATAATATAACACATAATACATACAGATTGAATCTGTATATTAGATCCCCAGAACTTATTCATCTTATAACTGGACTTTTGTATTCTTTGACTAGCATCTCCCCGTCTCTCACACTCCCTGGAAATCCCTGTTCTACTCTCTGGTTCTATGAGCTGGATGGTTTTGGATTTCATATACAAACGTGTCCGGCTTATTTATTTAGCGTAACGTCCTCCAGCCTCATCCATGTTGATGCAAATGGTAGAATTTCCATCTTTTTAATGGCTGCATAACATTCTATTGTGTGTGTGTATTTTCTACATTTTCTTTGCCCATTTATTCATGGATGGACACTTTGGTTATTTCCGTCTTGGCCGTTGTGAATACTTCCACAATGAGCACGGGCATGCAGATACCTCTTCTAGATACTGATATTAATTCCTTTGGATATATACCCAGAAATGAGATTCCTGGGTCATACAGTAGTTCCATCTTTAATTTCTTCAGGAACCTACCATAATGGCTGTACCAATGTCCATCACCACCAACAATGTACCGGAGTTCCTTTTTCTCCACACTTCTGCCAACATTTGTTGTCTTGTGGCCTTTTGATAATGGCCATCCTAAGAAGTGTGAGGTGATCTCTCATTTTGATCTGCGTTTTCCTCGTGGTGAGTGATGTTGAGCTTTTGGCCATCTGTATGTCTTCTTCAGAAAGATATCTATTCAGGTCCTTTGGCCATTTTAAAATCAGATTTTTTGGGTTTTGGCTATTGAGTTTTATGAGTTCCTTGTATGTTTCTGATCTTAACCCCTTATAAGATGTATGGTTTGCAAAAATCCCAAAGCTCCCGCAAGGGCATTTTTATCCATGGATGGCTGCCAAATTATTGTTACTGAGGGGAGATAGGAGTGGGGGGCCTCCTGTCCCACTATCTTGCTGATGTTGCAATAAGGATTTATTTTTAGATTTAAATTTCTAGGATCTGGACGTGGGGAATGCGTGGGGGAGGTGGGAGCATGGGCTTGCCTGCCATCTGGATCCAATCACATTATTGTTTGCATATAACACCCACCCTCATGCCCCAGCTCAGGCTTCTGCACCTCTCACACTGCACCAGAGGAATTTTTCTAAATTCAGACCCATAGAGAGATTCCGCTGGTCAGAGCCCTTCAGGGGCTCCCCCCTGACTTCATGCTAAGACCCACAACTAGCCTGGGGGGTACCATGTTCCTTCCTTCCTCCTGGCTCCTCCCCTTCCTCCTGGCCCCTTCCTTTCCTCCTTGCTCCTCCCCTCCTCCCAGCCTTTGGGCCACGGGTGTTTGCACTTGCTGAAGGCTGACTCTTAGCTTTCAATACCCAGGTGGTTGGTCTTTCTTGGGACCTGTGTTAGGTGCCCCGCTGTTCCCATAGCTCCCTGTGTACATCCTTTGGTTGCACTGATGGCCCCGTGTTCCTGTGGGTTATGATCACTTCCTTCTTAGTCTTCCATGTCAAAGTGGGATTTCCCCATGGGCAAGGGTTCATTCCAGTATTTGGTGACTGAAATGATGGATGCCAGGGCTTGGTGGCCACGGGGTGCGGGTGCTTTCCCTTCCCCTTTGTCCTGGACTGAGGGTCTCAGTGGACCCCTTCCCCAGAAGAATGAGCACCCCCACCCCATGGCCTTATGGAGAGACCCCTCCTTGGCCAGCATGGCCTTTTGACCTGCAGTCAGCACCTCAGGAATAGAAGGGCTGATGTGACTGTTGCTTTCCCCACAGGCACTGGTGCCATCACACGGTGACGCGGACAGTGTCCTGCCAGGTGCAGAACGGCTCGGAGACAGTGGTCCAGCGTGTGTACCAGAGCTGCCGATGGCCCGGGCCCTGTGCCAACCTCGTGAGGTAAAGGCTGTGGAGAGGGCCAGCTCTGCCCTTCCTTTCTGTTCCCTTGGATGAATCCAACCCCAGCACAGGCTGCTGGGGAGGGGGATTGATGCTCGGAAACAAAAGCTGAGTGTGCATTTATGGAGCACCTTTTGTGTATAGAGCATGGGCATTTGATGAGCAGAAGAGCACTATAGACAAGAAGTGGGGTGAGGGTACTGAGGGGTGGGGAAGACCCAGAATCAGCTCGCAGGCACTGCTGGGACCCATGAAAGGGGCAGAGATTCTGGTCCTGGGCCACAGGCTGCCACGCCAGTTAGGGGGAGAGTGTCATTCTGCCTTTCTTTCTTTCTTTCTTTTTTTTTTTTTTAAGATTTTATTTATTTGTCAGAAAGAGAGAGAGCAAGAGAGAGAGAGAGAGAGAGCACAAGCAGGGGGAGCGGCAGGCAGAGGGAGAACCAGGCTCCCCGCTGAGCAAGGAGCCTGATGCAGGGCTTGATCCCAGGACCTTGACATCATGACCTAAGCCAAAGGCAGACGCTTCCCCGACTGAGCCACCCAGGCGCCCCTCATTCTGCCTTTCACTGTTAATGCTGTCATTGTTGTTATGAAGAAAGTGGTATATACTCAGTGCCCAAAGCAAATCCAGATATTACAGAACTGAATAAGGTGGACGATGAGTATTCTCCTGTCTCCCAATTGCTCCTACACAATCCCATTATTAATATTACCAGTGCATTACTCCAGACCCTTTTCTCCTCATATTTATGTATGAGCATATATATATATATATATATATATATATATATATGAGCAGTATATATATATATACACTTTCAGACAAAACCAGATGATATTCTTTTGTTCTGCAACTTGCTTCCCCCCAGAAAAATATTTTTTTTTAATTTTATTTGTTTATTTGACAGAGAGATCACAAGTAGACAGAGAGGCAGGCACAGAGAGAGAGGGAAGCAGGCTCCCTGCCAAGCAGAGAGCCCGATGTAGGGCTCGATCCCAGGACCCTGAGATCATGACCTGAGCCGAAGGCAGAGGCTTAACCCACTGAGCCACCCAGGCGCCCTGGTATTAATTCCTCTTAAACATTTGGTAAAATTCTCCAGTGGAAACATCTGGGGCTGGAGAATTCTTTTGAAGGAGTTTTTAAGCTACAAATTCAATTTCCTTAATAGTTATGGGGCGAGTCAAATGATCTATTTCAGATCGAGTGAGTTGGAGTGATTGTGTTTTTCGATGACCTGGTCCATTTCCTCTCAGCTGCTAAATTGACGTGTGTAGCCCTATTAACCTGTTTTATTCCTGATATTGATAACTCCTGCCTTTTCTTCTTTTCCCTTTGTCAGTCTTGCTAGAGCTTTGTTGTTTCACGGGTCTTTTCTGAGGACTAGCTTTGGTTTCATTCATTTTTCTCTAATGTTTTTCTGTTTTCAATTTCATTGATTTCTGCTCTTATCTGCTCCGTCCTTCCTTCTGCTGGCTTTGAAGTATTTTTCTCTCCTTTTTGGAGGTTCCTGAGTTGGGCTGGTTTAGGTTTTAAAAAAGATCGAGGGTTGCCGTGGGGACAGTGGATACATGCAGGTGCAAGGCGTTGGTGGCTCGTGCCAGGACACTACCTGGGAAGTGGGTGAATTCAGGATGTGTCTGGAAGCTGAGATGACAAGAGTCTGTTCACAGAAGGGCAGGGAGCAACCATGCATAACCCTCTGTGTCTGGTTTGAGTGGCTGGCTGGCTGGGCATGTTCTTCACTAAGTTGGGGACCCCCAGTGGTGTCAGACCTTGGAGGGGAAGCCAGCAGCTCTGTTTTGGCCAAGTGAAGCTGGAGATGCCTATGGGGGCATCCGTGGGAGAAGGGGGGAGGTTGAGTGAAAAAGTCTGGAGTACCGGGAAAATTGCAGGGCTCTGCAAAGGAGCACCCCAACCTCAGAGGCAGGACAAAGGAGGAGGGGCTGGCTAAGGAGGGGAGAAGGAGCAGGCAGGGGAGAAGGAGCATTTGGGTGTCCCGGGAGGTGAGTTTCGGGAGGGAAGGCATGGGGGAGAGCCCAAGTCTCCCAGATGTTTTGGGAAGCCTGCTAAGACTGGGGCCGTGCCCATTAGAGTTGGCAACGTGTGGTGGCTGGGACCCTGGCAAAGGCCGTCTTGGGGAGCAGTGGGGATGGAGGCCAAGAAGGCAGGCGCATAGGAGGAAAATGAGATGTGAGAAGTTTCTAGAAGTTCTTGCTGTGAAGGGAGCAGTGAAGGGGCCTGGGAAGCTGGAGGCCGCATGGGGTAAGGGAGGGATTCTGTTTGTTTTGAAGACAGGAAGTACGGGAGCATATTTGTAAACTGTTTTGTAAGCTGTCAGGGAGGGTCCTGGAGAGAGGCGAGGGCAGAATCCCAGAGCTGGGGAATGGGCAGCAGGAGGGGAAGGGGGGGCCCTGTCAGAGCTGCAACAGGGGGCAGGCCGAGAGCAGGGGCACCTGCCACGCATGTGGGTTCACCCAGGTGATGCTGGGATGGTCTGATTTGGGGGGCACCTCTACCAACTCATGAGGGCCACCATGGCAGCCCACGATGTCCCCCTCCCATTATTCCCAGGGCTCACCACGAGGTCCTTACCCACCGAGGTCCCCCCACACCAAGGTGCCCGGTATGGGGACGCAGCCACACACCTTAAAGGACGCAGCCATCTTCTTGCTATGTGGAAACAGAACTGTAATCCAGCCGTGTCCCGTGTGGATTCTCCCATTATGAGAGTTTTTTCCTACACTGGATTTCTGGAGAGAGAGAGAGGGAGAGAGAGAGTGTGTGTGTGTGTGTGTGTGTCGGAGGTACGCATCTATCATGTTTACAAACATGAGGCCCAGAGGACCATGCCAGGCACCCGGCCAGTCAGCAGCTGGCAGGGAGAGGGGGCTCCATGGGTTCCCCTCCCTTCCCCAGGGCCTGGTCTCCCTTCAGGGAAGTCCCTGTCTCAGCTTCCTCAGATCCTGTGTTTGGTCTGATCTGTGGTTGGCGCGGAACCGAACACCTAAGAGTCGACACTGGTGTCCAAGAACATGGCCCCTTCCCTCCCAGAACGTGTGTGGTTGGGGGGAGGGGATGTTGTGGACGGAACCGCCGGGGGAGGGAATGTCAAATGGCCCTGATATGAGACCTGGTCCTGGGTTTCCGCGGGTGGGTGGGCGGCAGTGACATTGGCTCAGAGATCTGGGGGTGGAGGGGGTTTCCCTAGGGGAGGGGTGCCGTGTGGCGGGGAGGGGGGATGGGAGAGGCAACAGTGTGGGAGGGCAGGGCCACAGTGAGGGCTTGGATGCTGAGACTTTCCCGAGAGAGGCCTGAGGACCAGCTCCACACCCAGAGGAAGGCAGAGAGGACAAGCCGGGCCTCCCCTCTCCGTGCCTCAGTTTCCCTTTCTGGGGAATGAGGATATATCCCTCTGTCTTGCTTTGGGGTGGGAAATCACACCCCTGGCTCTGCCTCGATCAAGGCAGCAGGAAGTCCGGTGTTGTTGATGCTGCCCTCCTGTCCCCACTGAGCAAACCCCCCACCCCCAGGGGGGCCGCTGCGGGAAGGAGGGTGGGCCAGGCGCAGGGCCTGCCTGGCAGATTGGGAGGGCCAAGCCCCAGGGACTTGGGGGTTAAGTTTTCCTCGGCCTGGCTTCCCTGCCCTGGCTGTCTCCCCGGCCCCTCTCGGAGCTCTTTGATGGCATTAGAGCCAACCTTTTCCAGATGTGCTGAGCGGAGGGGTTTGCCGGAACTCTCCGGAGCTTCATCTGCCTCCTTCATTCCCCTCCGCCAGACGGCCCCCTGCCGGCCTGCCTACCCCCCCCTTTGATTGGGTTGCCGGGACTTAGTACTTTCTTCAAACATGGCCTTTCTTTCCTGCCCCTCCTCCGCAGCCGGCCTGCGTGGGTGATCCCTGCGGCGTGGGGGCTTGTCTGGGCTGCATCCCCGTCCCCCGCCAGGACTCCCCAGTGCCCTGCTGTCCTGGGCTCTGGTGGGGGAGGCTGGGCGGAAGACACTGCCGGCTGGGCCCGCTGTCCCTTGCATCTGGCACTTCGGAATGACTAGCTGGGATCTGGAGGAGGCCAGAGGCTTCAAACCCCCTCCTCCTGCCTCTGCACGGCAGTGGGACAGCCCCTTCCCTCCCACTGGCCCGCTGCTATTAATCAAGAGATTAATAATCTGCTGCCTCCTTTTCTGAAACTCCCGCTCCCATTTCCTGTTGAGTCTCCAGCCTGTCTCGGTACCTCCCAGTCTGGTCGTCCTCGTGGTGGTCCCTGGTGGGGAAGTGCGGCCACAGCAGGAACCTGCAGGCTGAAATGCCCCGTGGGGGGCAGGGGCACCGCGCCTCCACGTGAAGTCTCGGGGCTGGCGATTCCCAGACCATAGCCCTGTGCCAGCACCCAGCGAGGGACCTCCTGATGCTTTGGGGACCCCTCCTTCCACCTTTGGAGGCCAAAGAGCCATGGCCTCCACTTACACACCTCTGGTGATGGGCACCTCACCCCTCTGGGATTCCGTTTGTCAAGTGCCTTCTCTTGTGACCCCGTGCACCCAGGGCCACGTTTGGGGAAATACAGACGCATCTGCACCCTTTCTGGGGGGCAGTCATTGAGTGGCTGGAGGAGTTTGGGAGCCCCTGAGAAGACCTCATGACTTCAGCCCTCTGTGCTTCCTGAAAGTGTCCCCCAGGACCAACTGCTCATGGTGGGGGCAGCTTCTGGACATTGTTGACCAGATGAGGACACACCAGCCCCACCCAGAGGCCTGATTTGGTCAAACCTTTGCCACTTTATAAGCGGGCATCTGATCCCATTTTCCCCTCCAGCCTCAGTTTCCCCTTCTGTAGAATGAGGCCACTCATCCCTGCCCTGCCCCTCCTGCTCAGCCAGCAGCCACCTGACTCCCTGCCCCACCTTCCATCTCTCCCTTCCCATCTGGTGCCACACAGTCAGCCACAGGCGGGGTCTTTCTAGAAAGTCAGTCTGACCACCACAGTGCTCAGCGCCACAGTCCCT